TGGTTGTGTCACTTCTTTAGATAATGTTGAGCAGTGTGCTTAGGTTTTCTATAATACAAGCACAAACTTTCTTAATGACAATAAGTCTTTTTTTGTTGAGCAAGAGGTTTGAAATGTATCACATCAATTTTCATATCCTTTACTCCTAAATGTATATATTGAAGAGACATTGGTATTGCCATTGAATTATAGTAATATTGATGCATACTTATGTGACTCTTAAATTGAAATTCAAAAATTTGACTATCACACTTCACAACAAAGTGAATTGCTTGACTCAATATTTAAAGATTAGACAAGTTGAGCATCAATTTTTTTACCTTATATTATAATCCATAAAAGAATTGGCTAATAAATGCAACATCATTTCACTTGATATCAATTATAAGATGTTAAAATTATAAAACACATAATGTTATTGATAAATTGTCTTATTGCAAAATATGGATCTTATTAGTTGTAACACAAATTGCATCATGATCTCTATACATGGATCAAATTCTACCAAAAAAACCTCTAGATTATGTAATATTAGATCATAGCATTCAAAAAAAAATAAAATTTATAATAATATTAAATATGAAAGAAGTATATCAATGATTTTAACTTACAATCGTGGAGTTGGATAGCATTGGAATTGAAATTCAATCAGAAGTTGTACTTGATTGATAAATCTTCAAAACTTGGATCTTGTGCCATCAAATTTTTTCAATGGTATAATCTTTAGTTCTCTAATATTGGAAGGATATTGTACTATAGGAGAAGGTATATGATTTGGTACACATGTTGAAGCAACTCTAATCATCTCTATATCTTCTCTTCTTGCCATTCTTTTTGTTTTTTATGATATTAAATTAAATTGATGCATTGCAAGCATTAACATCCTCAATTTTTCTTGCATTTGTGCCATTGCACTCTTTGTTTCAAGAAGCTCTTCCATAATAAAACTTAGAAAAGAGAAGATATATAATATTGTTGAAGCCAAAAAGAAGAGAAGATTTGAGAACAAAGAAAATACTAAAGACGATATGAGTTTAGAAGATGGTAATGTAAAATTTCTAATACACTTATGTCTTATCAAGAAAAAGAAATAATCCACTCTTAATCAAGAAAAGGCAAAGTTTATATATTATAAATATATACTTAGTATTCTATCAAAGATAAGAATCCGTTGAAAGTAAATAAAAAAAGTGAAACTTTTCTTAAATAAGTATAATAAAATAGAAATAAGGAAACATACATATTTTAAAAAAAAATGGAATGGTTGTTGCCAAAAGAAAAAAAAATGAAAGACTCTTGAATTTAGACAAAGGTAAGAAAATAATTGAGAAGAATGAAGAAGGCTTTACTCTTGCCTCAATGTATATTATCTACCTAAGAGCTACATAGCGACATTCTATAGGACCTCTAACATGTGTGGACTTTGCAAGCTACATGTCTTAACTTAAAAGGTAAATTTTTTATATTTGTGTCACATAGTTAGCTTGTTTTACAAGCTACCCACATGTGTGACATGTAGCCAACTTATTGACTAAGTTTCTAATCTAAAATTCAATTATAAAAATTTATAAAGTCAAAATTATGTTTATAAAACTTCTAAGAAGTTTTTTTAGAAGATATTATGAAATTAATCTACTTTTATTTATTTTTACCTACTTCTATCTAATCATATAGATAATTAATGGAATGAGTATGTATATTTGTGACAATTTAAGTTGGAGTACTTGCAAATTACATACAATTAATAACTATGAGTTGCAAATTCTTCCACACATATATTATTGAAAATCAAAGGTCACTAAAAATTTCCTCATATGCACAATTTAAATGGTCAACTATCATATGTACTGTCTTAATTGATCTATTGTATAAAAGATGTATTTCATTCTATATATATGCCTATATACTAATAAGCAACTCTCCTTTTAGCTACTTCTCTATCATCTCTTCTATCATTATTTGTACTTAGTTATGCCAAAAGATCATTCAACTATTCATAAATTTATAATAGTGTAGAATATATGGAATATAATCTATATATATATATATATATATATATATATAAACTAAAAAAAACTAAAACAGAAAATTCTTTTTCTTGTAAATGATCTACTGTTTATAATATAGTTACACAAATTATTTCAACTTCATCACAAAGTTATGTAGTGATTGTATACCATACTCTCACAACAAAATACTAAAACATTTAAGTGTGACAAGACCTAATAATGATTATATTCTATGCTCATATAACAAAATAGTAAAATATTTAAGTATGTTGAGACCTGGTGATAATTGTATATTATGTTCTTATAACAAAACACTAAAGCATTTAAGTGTGTCTAGACTTGGTGATGAATTTTATGTCAAGAAGTTCCATAAGATGGTAGTTCCATAAGATGGTGCCTTGATTTGATTCTTTAATTTGTTATTCATCATATTTATGTAAAATAATCCTATAATCTATATCCCTCAAAATTAAAAATCAAAGCAATAAGGTATTTTACTTGTGACAAATAGATGTGGCATATAAAGCTCTTTTGCATACAATATAAATTATAACAATCATAGGTTTTAAAATTTATGGTTTTACCATGTTTCAAAATGTAGCTCCTCCACAACACTACTAAATTGTTACTATGTGCTATTGTTGGGAGAAAAAAAATTATACATTGCAATTTCCATTTATATGCCTTTTATCCACCATGATGTGCATTTCTTTTATTGTATTACTAATCTATATGTTGAGTCGTGCCTCATTTCTATTTGTGCTTACATTAATACAATCAAAAATTGGAATCAAACTTACATCTTCCAAAATCCAATGCTTATCACCCCTTCTTCTATGACAACTTACTTTTGATCTAACATCGGTGTAGAATCACTACTCTTCTTTTCTATGGAAATAACATTCATTGCCACAAAAATTACCTTGATTGTTTGTTAAATCATTGATTGGAAAAGCAGCACAAGTGGCTTGTTAAGACATAGATGCATATGGAGAAATTCTCTTATTGTGGTAGAGCAATAGTAGTACATGGTTTATTGCTACAATCACTTGCTTCATCAATTAGAATAAATGTATATAAGTATCCATCAAAAAACTCAATTGCCTCAAATTCTATACCAACACCAATACTTGGATTAATGTAGCATGTGAATAAATTGTTATTGGCTCTTAACAACTCCATTCTTTGAACAACTCTGTTCTTGAAGATATTCATGTCTCCAATTCTCTTTGCATTCTCAAAGTTCTTAGAATTTTCTTCAATAGTCAATCAAAATGCATTTTTATCTCTTTATTTTATATGTCCAAGTTGTTTATATACATATCTATATATATATATATATATATATATATAACTTGTAATTTTATCTTACATGTGCAAAACTTCTTCTATATTTTATAAAAATAAAAATGACTATGCTATAAAATATAAATAATTCTTAATATTTATTTTAAATTTTTATTAGATATAATTTTGGATAAATATTCCAAAGCATTAAATAAAAATAAAAATGAGGATTTAAAATTATTATTGTAGTTGAAATTGTGGATATATTTTAATCTTAGATTTTTAAATAAAGTCTATAATAAATTTTGTAATTATTTTAATAAATAAATTCATACTTAATTTTAAAATTTAGAATTGTTTACATAATTATTCAGAATAAATACATTGATTTTTTATAAAGAAAAAAAAATTAAAGGAAAAGAAAATAAAACATAATAGAGGTACTTGAAAAGAGGAATGACATCAAGAAGATTTTGTTAGTTAAAGGGGAAGAAGAAAAAATCATTTGAAAAAATTTGCTAATATTCACCAAAACTGATATGTATTGTGTGTTATCAATCATAAATCAATCATTGAAAAAAATATAAATGATTTATTATACGTAATTTAATTTAATTCGATTTTTTTTCTTTTCCTTTTTCAATTTCAATTTAAGTCATTTGTTTGCACAAAATTTATTTATTTTAAGGGTTTGAAGCCATAAATTATAATACATGAAATAACTTATCTTTATATAACTGAATAACAACACTATTCAAAATTAATGAAAACTTATGTTAATATATTTGTGTACTCAAAAAATTACAATACAATTCAATTTCAATTCAATTACAATTTAATTACAAGTTTTTGCACAGAAAACTAAGAATAATGATTACAAATATACGGCTTTTTATTTCTTTTGTTGGAATCCAATTCAAATAAAAAAATTGTAAAAAATATTGCATTTTTTGAGCCAATTAGCTAAATTAGGTGATAGCTTGTATATGTAGTTGATGAAGACATAATTGTATTTCTATATTGAATATTCCAACCTGACTTTTGTCTCCCTGGAGAAAACCACCACCATATGCTCTCAAATCTTCTTTTTAGTTTCCTTCAAAAAAATAATTTAAATTAATTTTCTAAATTATATACACAAAACTTACATTAATTACAATCATCAATATTGAAAATGATAACTTTTTTTTCATGTATAAAACCTAATAGATAAAAGTAAATAAATAAATAAATAAATGGAATAGAAAGAAAACTCACTAAGCTAATAGAAAACTCAGAGAATGAAAAAACGTGGTTGTGGAAGGGGTCAAAGAGTAGCATATTATATATTGCTGCAGACAACTTCTGGCTCTTAAACCAATTTCTTCTTTCTATCTCAAATAATTCTCAATTAAATTCTATATCTGAAAAAAAAATAGTATTTTTTCCCCAAACACGATTAATTCTTAATTGGGTGATTCCAAAATATAAATATAAACCAAACACCATTAAAATATCTTCATCGTTATTGGCAACGTTGGATGCATGCATGTGATTAACTGTCTCATAGATATTCCACCCATTGGATATTCATCCACGCATACTCATTCATCAACTGGATTTCATCCTTAGACATCCATAATCCTCATAGTTCATTCATCCATAATTGACCCCATATTGCTCTCATTCGGCACGAGGACCCAGAAGAAAAGAACTAAGACTGCGTTGCAGAGGAACTGAGGAGATAAGATACATTGAAAATTAGGGCTTCGGGGCACCACGTCGAAGAAGCTCGCAAATCGAGGCGCGAAGATCAGGGTAGCAACCAACCGGATCGAACGAAAAAACACCGCACTGTAGAGGGTGAATATCGATTCTACAGTAAGTTACTCACGCCACAACTGTCTCTTCCCAATTTGAATATTTGCAATGTAAGAAAAATGGCCACGGCAGTAGTGGCATCGTTAGCGGCAGCTAGCGCCCCGAGATTGCTTCCCCTCACCAATCTGCGGGTGGGTTGCAGATGGGCTTTGCAGCAGCGGAAGCGATGCTTTGAGTTGGCGCGTCAGTGGAGCTCAGCTTCGCGGTTCTTGTTTCCTGAGCGGCGTGTTGAATTGAGAGAGGGGAAGAAGGAAAGGTCCCTGTTAGTGGTCGCCATGGATCAAGTAACGTCGGGGAAAGCCAGGTCGCCGAGTGCTGACGACCACACGGAGCCTTCCTCAGACGCAGAATCCGAATTGTTGCATTCTCTGTACGCAATTCCAAGTATAGACAAAGCGTGGGCGATTCCATCGTGCCAAGGTGGAGCGGGTTTCGATGTGGTGGTGGCGATGAGCCAGGTTAATCTCCCTGCGAACGCGAAGCGCACGTTTCTGTCTACGGTCTACATTCCAGAGACATCGAGTGCTACGATCACAGATTACCACTGGTCACCGTTTCCTTTTGAGATCAGCGGGGCCAGTCTGATCGTCCCTTCACCTTCGGGTGCGAAAGTGCTGATAATTCGCAACCCTAAGGATTCGACGTCGCCAACGAATCTTGAAATCTGGGGTCCTGGGCAACTTCTTCGGGAGATATTTGTGGCATCATCAGTACACGGATCAGTCTATGGAGACGGTTGGTTTGAGGGTGTTTCGTGGAGTCAGAACGAAGAATCTATTGCGTATGTTGCCGAAGAACCTGTCGTTTCTCGCCCCGTTTTTGGCCAGTCTGCATCGACGCCAGGTCAGAACAGCAATGCTACTTTGGAGGCAGGGAATTGGAAAGGCCAAGGGGATTGGGTGGAAGATTGGGGCGAGTCCTACTCTGGAAAGCGAAGACCCGTCCTATTCGTTGCGAATGTCAGCACCGGGGCAGTGCAGGCTGTTGAAGGCATTTCCCGAGATATCAGTGCTGGGCAAGTGGTGTGGGCTCCTCAACCGGCATCACCTGATGGTCCACAATCTCTCGTTTTTGTTGGCTGGTCATCTTACGCTGAAAATTTCAGCACTCCACGCAAGCTGGGCATGAAATACTGCTTCAATAGGCCTTGTCATCTTTACCACGTTGAAGCCCCAGTTCCTGACAGGGAGCCTTCTGATGCACCTCGTGAGGCTACCAACCTTACAGAAGGCGTGAGTAGTGCATTTTCCCCTCGATTTAGTCCAGATGGAAAGAAGCTGGTGTTTTTGTCTGCTGAAGCAGCTGTCAAAAGTGGAGCGCACAATGCCACGAATTCCCTTCATCTTATTGATTGGCCAACAGACTTGATCAGGATCGGTGAAAAACCGCAGGTTAAGGACATCGTCAACGTTGTGCAACATGCGGAAGAAGGTGCTTTCCCTGGTCTGTATTGCTACAATCTCGTTGCAAACCCTTGGTTGGATGACGGCTCTACGCTCTTGCTCTCCTCAGCATGGCGCAGTCAGCAGGTCATTCTTAGCATTGACGTTGAAAGTGGCAATGTGAGTAGGGTTAGCTCTTCCGATTCCTTGGCTTCCTGGAATCTTCTCGGTTTGCAAAATAGTTGCATAGTTGCCACTGTCAGCTCCCCAATTCAGCCCTCGAGTTTACACCTAGGCCACTCGGCTTCTGTTGGCAGCCCGCTCAAAGGTGGCAAGGAGTGGAAGTGGTCAGCCATCAATGTCCCCTCCCTTAAATTCGCTTCAAAGATAGAATCAGTAATGCAATCCATGAAATATGAATTGCTCCAGGTCTCTCCTCCGAAAGCGGACCCTCTGAAGTCCTTATCCGTAGGCTCGGGGCAACCATTTGAGGCTATCTTTGTCTCCCCAACGGGCTCCATCAGGCCTCTTACAGAGGAGCCAAGGATAGAGAGTATTCCCCCTCTGGTGGTGGTGCTGCACGGAGGTCCTCATTCCGTTAGCCAAACCAGCTTCTCCAGGAACGCAGCGTTCCTCTCAATGTTAGGATTTAATCTACTCCATGTTAATTACAGGGGCTCATTAGGGTTCGGAGAAGAAGCACTACAGTCTCTACTCGGCAATGTGGGGCGCCAGGATGTCGATGATGTCCTTGCGGCATTGGATCTGGTTATTGGAAATGGAATGGCAGATCCTGCGAGAGTTGCTGTCCTCGGTGGATCACACGGTGGCTTCCTGGCGACACATCTTATTGGCCAGGCACCGGATCGGTTTGCCACCGGCATAGCTAGAAACCCTGTATGCAATGTCTCCTCCATGGTGGGTATCACTGACATTCCAGATTGGTGCTACGTGGAAGCTTTTGGTAAAGATGGGCTTTCCAACTACTCTGAAGCTCCTTCGGTTAAGGACCTCAGTGTGCTATACCAGATCTCTCCCATTGCCCATATCTCCAATGTTAAGGTGCCGACATTGTTTCTGCTTGGGGCTCAAGACAGAAGAGTGCCAGTATCCAATGGCTTCCAGTACGTACAAGCGTTGCGGGCGCGGGGACAGGAAGTCAAAGTCATCGTGTTCCCCGAGGATGTTCACGCCATTGATAGACCTCAGTCGGATTTTGAGAGCTTTTTGAATATCGGAGTCTGGTTGAAGAGATTCATTCAGTAATGAAGCATGGTCGATAACATGTGAACATCAACGTGATCAGCCTTGTCACATGGCAAGTAAGATCCGAGGCAAGTTTCAACTTTGCTGCATTTACTTGGCTAGCATGTACTCATTTTAAGCTTCCTCAGATTCAGTTGGACACTTGGAACAATTCAATCACGGGTTGTATCATTTATGCTCATTCTTGTGGCTACCACTGAATTCTTTCAGTATTTCTTCAGGATTATCTGACCATTGTGTTTTCTATTCAAAGTTTCTTGAATTAAGGCGAGCATCGTCACCTGTCCAGTTAGCTATTAAAAAAAAAAAAAAAAAAAAAAAAAAAACTGGACTTAGGAGTAGTAATATTCAGAACGAAGCTGACGAATCGTGTCAACTTCAGTCCTACTCCACAAATATATTTATTTTCTTCTAATTTGTAATCCTACAAAACTTTATTTGGAATGTAGATGCTGCGACATAAATTGCAACGATGGTTTATTTGCATTTGTACTGCCACACCTAGTCAAGTAACTTGTCCTGTTGCTGAATTATTCATAATCTTTCATTGCGAAAAGATATCGTTCCATGGGATCTTTCTGAAGCCAGGAATCTTTCCGATTTAGCATCAGAAGATAGCTGATTTTTTTAGCAATTTATTTTTGCTGCCATATCTACATTAATGATACTTTTGGGTGCAGTTACCATACATTTCTAGTGGTATCAACTACTCATCGTTCAATTTTTTTGCACTGGGGCTGAGTTTAGTTTATATGCTATCAATGTACTTTCAATGATCAGGGGGTAGGAATAAAGTATTTATGTCAAATCTCATTCCTCATATTAGTCCCTTCACAATCGTTGCATGTCAGGCATTATTTTAAATGGTTTTTTGTTTTTTTCGTTTTTTTCGTTTTTTTTTTTTTTTTTTTCTCATCAGTATGTGTGACTTGCCCCTCGTGCATGGACAAACTTGTCTGGAAAAGCACCACACCACATGTCCAACAAATGAGTGAATCCTTTGCCCCCTTTTAGTCAATAGAAAGGATTCAGAATGCTTTTTTCATGGGGGTTGTGTCGACATCAGCGATGCATTACAGTTCCATGGCCTACTACGGGTTCCATGAGTGTTTCGTATCACCACAACACTCCCCATGCAGGGTTGCGTGAAACTCACTTCAGAAGCATGCAATCGATCCATTGACTGAAGATTATTGTTCATGGCAGTCAACAGTGATGCTGTCAGTGACCGCCACCCTTGTGCAGACAACGCTGAGCTACGAAGAGTCGAAGCCTGGTACGCATCTCATCTGATTCTTCTCATATCCAATGGTTCTCTTATACATTTACACCATCGAAAGGATTGTTTTTTGTTAGCGCACAGCTTGGAATTCCTTTATCAGATTATCTCATTGTCCAGATTCTGGTTGATGAAGCATCTGCAGATTGCGAACTGAGCTGACTGTGAAGTGATGATCTGTTTTAAACGGATTCCATGTGTTTTCAGAAACTGGGTTATGCACAACCCACAAGCATTTTAGGCTTAGAAATTAAACTGTACGAGAACATCCCTTCGTTTTAGACATTCTACAGCCAACTGCTTCAGTCTGTGCCTCACACTGTAGGCTCTTGGAAACTCCTTATTCAAGTAGAATGATGTTTCTGCATATGATTGGATATCAAGTTGGCTTAGGTTTCGGAAAGATTGTGCTCTTGTTTTAAGGAACATTTACATGTCAAGTTAGTTCTGGAATGTGAAAGATGTGGTTTGAATAGCTGCATTTTTCCATGGTAGGTTTTATTTGTGGATGGTAGAAAATTTAAAATGCAGTATTTGATGTCTTTTGTTTTTAAAATTTTGATTCGTTCGTTTGGTTTATGTGAAGGCTATAATCTAATAATAGTTTCATGTAGTTTTCAACTTCATTGTAAACAAGAATAAAAGATGGAGTACAAGTGCTTTTATTAAAATATGAAGAAAAGTAAACTGAGATAAAGTAAGCAGCATTGTAATTTAGAGTAGTTTTATTGAATCAAGACATGAATGAATTAAAATTTAATATTTATCAACGTGACTTAATGTTTAAAACTTTACATCCTAAATCAGTGTTTTGTTATAGTATTATTACATTTCGTATAATATTTGACGTTTTTATATTTATTTAATATTTAGTATATATTATACAACAATCAACATATTATTGATATATAATATTAAGATTTTTTAGCTAAGTGAATCATAAATTTTTTAGCATTTTAAAGTACACATGATAATTAAATTGAATGATTGTATATTCATTTTTAGTTTTAAATATTAAAATTTAGATATGTGATTTTCTAAAAAAACATGTTTCAGTCTATGTAATGTTTTTTTACTTTTTTACTTTTTATTATTTAAATTATATTTGAAGACCATTTAAGGGAAAAAGAAAAAAGAAAAAAGAAAAAAAAGAAAAAAATATCTTAATCTAATTTTTTTTATTGATAGAGCTAATTATAAATTTTGGTATCATAGTATAAACATAGGAATTTTCCAAAGCAATCATGGACCTAAAAGAAAAGAATCTGTAGATAGAATGATGATTGAAGTTGGTACAAGTAATAGCTCTTTAATTCTTATGTTAACCTAAAATTTAAAAATGATAATCTTTAACCTAATTTAATACTGATAATAAATAAATGGGTCGTATTAAAGAAAATGTTAATTGGATCAAAATAAGAGAAGTAGAAATCTAAGAGAATTTTTATTTTTATTCCTTAAAAGTTCAAATTGCTACATTCAATGATATAGCGTTAAACTTTGTAAAAAGAAATACAATAACTTTTTATTATGATTTAAGATTATAAAAATTTAAAGTATTTATTTATGTTTCATTTAGAAGTAAATAATTTTCATGCAAATAATGGAAGTAATTTCTATAGAAATTAGAAGCATCACAAATACCTAAAGTCTGCCACACAATACTATAAGTTATTATAATTTGACTTCTTATGTATGAGTACTTGGGTATTGACTTAGATACATTTTTAGACCAAAGAAGTATCTTATTCATGCATTTTAAGTAATGTTATATTTATTATATTTTTTCTATTATTTGTTCTTGTATAGTACCGCTAATATAGAGTAAGAAGGTCTCAAAGCTCCTTAGTATATTATGATTAACTGTTATAAAAATGGTTCTCAAGTTCTTGGAAGAAATGCTCTTTTTTCTTTTAAATTATTTTAGAATATTCTAAAAATATTTTATGTGTTTTCATCAAACAAAGATTTTGTACTATATGTTCAACTAAAAAAAGGAAAAGAAAAAAGTACAACATTGCAAGCTATAACTTGGACCATAATAGCCTGTTCATATTTGAATTCTCAATTTATTCAGAAAATATTTCTTTATATATGTGCATCAATATATATATATATATATATATATATATATATAATATCTTCAAAATAAAAATATAAAGAAAAGAGAAGTTTTTTTTCTTTTTTTTTTTTGATACTAATAACTTCAAATTTTGACTTCAATATGTTAACTAAGAGTATTAATTTCAATCTTGATTTATATAAATTTTGGCGTAAACTTCTTAGTTTCTATAACTTAGTTCTCTTGGTCTGACTATTATTGATCTTTATTTATATGATAGTATTATTTCGTAAAAATATACTTAAATTATAGAAAAAATATGATCAATAAAAAGAAAGCCTTGATTTCGTCCTATAATTGAATATTAATATCAATTAATCTAAACAAGTTATTTTTTTAATTAATTTATTTATTTTAATGCTAATGCATATATATATCTATATATATCTATATATATATAGAGAGAGAGATATATATATAGATGATTTTTAGCAAAATATGTAAATTTTGATTTAAACAAAATAAATTTATTAGTAGTTTTATCATATATAGACTTTTATTAGTTCCTATAAACAAATTGATATTTGATTTTTTTTCTTGAATCTCATCCTTCTAATCTAATACTTTAAAAAATGTTCATCAGAAAAGAATAATGTACATCAAAAATTTATATTTAAAAAAAATAGTATATTTTTTTTTAATAACTTTAAAATATATTTATGAAAAAAAAGTTTTTATATTTAAAAATATATAAGATCTTATTCAAAAAATTAATATTTTAATTTTTCTTTGTATATATATATATATATATATATATATACATGTATCTAGATAAGATTTTAACTAAGTTTTTTAGTGTAAAACTATGTCAAAAATTAATTTCTAATTTTCAATAAAAATTTCATACACATGAATAATAATACAAAAGATTTATAGTATATCATAACTTAATTACCATTAATATTCTGGCCGTTGTTAAATTATTAATAAAATTAATATAAAATTGAAAATTTAAATTCTTTATTAAGAAAATTAAAAAAAAAATCATTTCCACCTATATAGGATTTTTAGTTTTGTACTTCAAATCTCTTTTTAAGGAATTATCAATATTTAGATTAAATTCTACAATTCATTTAATTTTATAAATAAAACATTACGTAACTAACCAATGATGTGTGTGTATATATATATATATATATATACACAAATTTTGAATATATTATTTTATCTAATGTGTATGTATAGATATTGTATTTATATGTATATATATGCAGAAATCCATGTTGTTGGATACAAAAAAACTATAAATGCTTCTAGAAGTAGTTTCTTCTAGATTATTGGGCCTTAGAAAGCCCTATGTTCATGCATGCCCTTCTTCACAGCCAATAAGAAGGCTCCTTTGTCTCTTTGATTTATATCCAAGTTTTATATATATATATATATATATATATATAATTTAAATATTTTTAACAATGCTTCAATTTATATTATGGAACATCTTGATTGAATTTCAAGATTTAAAAAATTTAATTGCATTAGTATTACAATCAAATTGATTATAAATAAAAATACATATTTTAATACTAATGCAAATTAAAAAAAAAAAAAAAAAAAAAAAAAAAAAACAACTATAATATCATATTTAATCTAATTATAATATTTAGACTAAAAAAAATGTTAGGTCTTGATTTTGATGTTATAAATCTAATACTTTGAATAAAAATATTTAAAAAGTAACAACGGAACTTAAACATTAAATTTTATAAATTTTAGAACCTAAAGACTAGTCAGATATTTCATTCCAAATAATGTGATAATATGACATGTTTACCTTAAGACTCTTTTATATATTGTATATTATTTTGTCTAATGATTTATGATTTCTTCTAATACACTTTAGTATAATAAAATAGTTGTAAGTTTTTATAATTTTATAAAAATGAAATTAATTTAAATCAAGAAAAAATTATAGATTTTATTATGAATAGTACAAACTAATATTTGTAACAAATACATCATAAAATTTTAAATGGCTATAGAAAGAAGCATAAGTTACATATTAATCATTGCTAATATTGATATATATCAAAAAAATTAAGGAGTTATTAAAATATTTAGTTTCTAAGTTCTTACATTGTCTTAATT